AAGCAAGATGGTCTCTTTTCTTTGGTCGTTTTAATTTTGTCCTCTCTTTCCGCCCTGGTTCAAAGAACATCAAACCTAACTCCCTCTCTCGTATTCATGACCCGGATAACTCCAATCAGGCCCCCAAAACCATCCTCCCCAAGTCATGTTTCGTTTCTGCCTTCTCTTGGGGAGTTGAGGACAAGGTTAGAGGCTAGATCGGCCACTGCTAATGTCCAGCTTCCCCCAGAATGTTCTGACGACAAATTGTTTGTAATTTCTGAACTTCGGGGAGAAGTTATTCACTGGGGCCACACCAATAAGGTAGTCTGCCACCCAGAGATCCTTAAGACCCTGTCAGTGATCCAGCAGCGTTTTTGGTGGCCTAAAATGAAACAGGATGTCACAGAATATATCAATACCTGTTCTGTATGTGCTATGTGTAAAGTTTCACATCAGAAACCACAAGGGGAGCTTCAACCGCTCTCAGTACCTAAACGTCCTTGGTCTCATATCTTTAGATTTTGTCACCGGACTCCCTCCCTCTAATGGGAATACTGTGGTTTTAACAGTTGTTGACAGATTTTCTAAAATGGTACATTTCATTGCCCTGCCTAAACTTCCTTCAGCCAAAGAGACTGCTGAGGCCCTCATCCAGCATGTTTTCAGGACCCATGGTTTTCCGGAGGATGCGGTCTCTGACTGAGGCCCCCAGTTCATTTCCAAGTTCTTGAAGGAGTTCTGCAGTCTGCTAGGAGCCACAGTCAGCTTATAAGCAGGTTGCCACCCACAGTCAAACGATCAAACTGAACGCCTAAACCAAGAATTGGAAAAAGGACTACGAATCACAGCATCGCAACACCCCAACACTTGGTCTTCTCAACTGGTTTGGATTGAACTAGCTCACAACTCATTGCCATCGGCATAATCTGGTTTTTCTCTGTTTCATGTTGTCCATGATCACCCACTATCTCTGTTTCCCTCCACAGACCCTGTCAGCCCTGTCCCGTCGGCCCTTTCCTTAATTCGTCGCTGTAAGAGGACCTGGGAGTGAGCTCGCCAGCACCTCCTGCGGCGGTCCGCCGCCTATAAGACTGTGGCAGACAGAAAGAGATCGGCAGCCCCCACGTATGCAACGGATCAAAAGGTCTGGCTCTCGACAAGAAATCTGCCACTCAGGGTGGAGTTTCGCAAGCTCGCCCCCAGGTTCATCGGTCCCTTCCCTATAACCAAAGTTGTTAACCATGTGTCTGTTCGTCTGCGTCTCCCCAGGTCCATGCATGTTCACCCCACCTTTGATGTCAGTCACATCAAGCCCTCACTCACCAGCCAGCTCTGCCCTCCGGCCAAGCCCCCTCCACCCCCCTAGTTCATTGACGGCGGGCCGGTTTTCACAGTCAGGAAGCTCCTGTCTGCCAGTCGTCGTGGCCGGGGATCCAGTACCTGGTGGACTGGGAGGGGTACAGGCTGGAGGAACGGTCCTGGATCCCCTCACGTTTTGTTTTAGACCCCTCTCTCATTCGTGATTTCACGTTTTGTCTTATCTTTCCTGTTTTATTTTGAAGTCACTTCACCAGTTATTCTGTTTCAGCTTTACTTCCTGCACCTGTCTTGTCTCACCTGTTCCCTGATTACCTCCCAGCACCTGTTTCCCATCTCCCCTTATTAAGGCCCCTCGAAGTTGTCCTGTGCAGCTCTGTCACTGTGTGGTTTGGAGCAGCCACACTGCAGGACAGAAACAGGCTGCAGCGTACAGTCAGAACAGCTGAGAAGATCATCGGAGCCCCCCTGCCCTCCATCCAGGAACTGTACTCCAATAGAACCAGGAAGAGGGCAGGGAACATCATCACAGACCCCACTCATCCTG